GCCGCGTGTCGGCCACGCGCAGAGGGGGGTATGGGGGAGGGGGGAAGGCTTCTTAGAAGCAGTTCGCTTCTGAGAAGGCGCGGGACTTGCCTGTGGATGTAGGGCTGGCGCCTTGCAAGAATCAAGCAGTAGCGAAGCGTCCCGGGTCGCCTATAGCCCCACCAAACAATATTCTAAGAACTTTTTGTGGTTTCCACGAACTGTTCTTATAATATTTCTAACTAGGACTGTCTTGTTTTTAACACATCGGGTTTATGTTCTAAGAACATTGTTTTGTTCTTAGAACATTTTTGGGTTCTAAGAGCATTTCGTGGTATGACTATAGGAATGCCGGGACGGTTGGTCCCTGCTCAAAGAAGCGGCCTCCTCCTAAGGATCGACTACACGTAAGAGTGACCCTTCGCAGGAGTGGCCCTTGGTGCGGGCCCACGGGGTCTCCACGATCGCTGAACGAGATGCGATAGCAGCGGCTTGCGCGCTTGGGTTCGGCCACCTGCCTGGGGTCACTCTTGCGTTCGGCCGACAGAAGCCCCCCCCCACCTCCCCCCCCGCCGCGTGCGCGCCGCCGGGCGACGGCGTGCGCGCCGCCGGGCTCCCGCCCCAGGCATGGCCAGCCGACGGGCCGCGCGCGCAGCCGCCGTTGCTGATCGTCGTGCGGGTGTTCAAGGCTGCCCCGCTCTGCTCGGGGGGCCGGGCAGCGCAGCGGGAGCAGGCGTCGGGGGCCTCGGGACGGGGTCAGTGCAAGCGGGGGTCAGCCAGAGTCGGAGGCCCAGAGGTTGACACCAACACCAATATCGGCGGTGTGCCTCCACCGAGGGATGATGCTCCCGATCTTGGTATGGTGGCAATATTCGTGCTTCCTAGGTGGCCGCAACATTACCAGCAACACCGAAGTCTAGGATCACCTTCCCCCAGTGGAGGCACCCCCGTGTGCTGGTGTTGGTGCCCATTGTCCGTGTCCAAGCCTCCAAGAGCGGCGGATCTTGCAGGATCCTGAAAAGCCAGGGGTGCACTGACCCGGCTTGGCATGCAGGATCTTGCAGGATCCTGCATGATCTTGCAGGATCCTGCAAAGCCTGACTGGCCCGGGTTTGCATGGGCCAAGGTCAGTGCGTCCCCGAAGGCGGGGCGGGAGTGAATCTCTGTGTTTCGGGGTCGCGGATGTGCTTCGGGGACGCTAGGCATTCAGACAGAGTGATTATGAGGGTGTGCCAATTGTACACCCTCGTAGTTCATCTGTCAGAGTGCCTCAGCGTCGGCTAGCGTTTGGTCATCGATGTTAGCCAGTATGGTTTCCTCACAGTCTGCTTCTAGCAATACATGTTGTGCAATCAGCGTTCAAACTAAATCATAGTTGTATATCTGTATATATATGTGTGTGCATACATATTTCTATATATATATATATACAGATGTATGCATGCATGCATGCATGCATTCATGCATGTGTAAGTAAACATGTATGTGGTGCAGTCGATGTGGTGCAATCCATGTGATGCAACCGATGTGGTGAACTATGTGGGGTGTAATATAGGTGGAACAATATCAGTCGTGCAATCTATGGTGAGCAAATAATCTTGACCGTCTTGAAGCTGTCCTCTCCACTGCTCGTGCAAACATCCCACCCTCCCACCCGCAACTTGGTCGCAAGACCTCTTCAGACAAGACCGTGACGGTAGGTATCACATGGCACTTGGCCACGACACCGATGCCGACGACGACAGCGACATCGACGACGACGGCGCCGCCGACAGCGACTGCGACGACACCGACGACGTCTCCAATGTTTTCGACGGCGACAACGACGACGACGACACCGACGACGACGACAACGACGCCGACGACGACGACGAAGACGACGACGACGTCGCCAACGGAGACGACGACGAGGGAGGAGAAAAAACGACGACGGCGACAACGACGACAACGACGATGGAGGAGGGAAGACGGCGACGACGCCAACGACGAAGAAGGAGGAAGGACGGCGACGCCGACGACGACAACGACGAGGGAGGAGGGAAGACGACGACGATGACAACGACGACGAAGACGACGACGACGGCGACGAAATGAAAGGACGACGACGAGACGCCGACGACGGACGACGACGACGAGGGAGGAGGATAACGACGAGGGAGGAGTGAAGACCACGACGACGACGACGACGACGACGGCGACGAAATAGGAGGGACAACGACGAGACGCCGACGAAGACAACGAGGGAGGAAGGACGACCACGGCGACAACGACGACGGAAACGACGACGACGCCAAGACGACGACAACGACGACGAGGAAAGACAGAAGACGACGACGGCGACGACGACGACGACGACGACGACGGAGGAGGGAGGACGACGACGACGACGACGACAAGAGCGCGCGCGCACGCTTTTGTTGAACATCCGTGTTGCGAAACCTTGGGTTCTTGTAGGTTTTTTGGACGCACGATTTTGAAATCCTTCTGAAACCGATGGTTTTCGAAGGTTTTCGGCGTACGCCCGCGACGACGCGCGCGACTGCACTTCGTCCCATTTTTTGCAGAGGATTCTCGCGACGGCACACGCGCAAGGGCGTTCGACAGATTTCGACATGCGCGCGCGCGAAGCCCGTTTGGTAGCATTTTGTGAAAATCTTGGAAAACCTATGGTTTTCTTAAGATTTCGCAAGACCTCGCGCGGAAGTTTTTTTAGCAAATCAGTGTTGCGAAACCATGTGTTTTTGTATGTTTTTTGGAAACTCGATTGCGACATCTTTCCGGCACCGAAGGTTTTTGAAGGATTTCGGCATGCGCGCGCGACGACGCGCGCGTGTGCACTTCGTCCAATTTTTTGCAAGGGATTCGTGAAAAAGTGTTATGTTAGAACAAAACATGTCACCGCATAGTGTTTTTTACAAGGGAACCGCAGGGGGGGGAACCCGGCTTGGCTGGGATGGTATGAATTCATATTTCGGATGGACATGTGGTCAGAATCATATGTAATTTACAGCACGCGCGGGGGTCCCGATAAGTCCGGGGGGGGGTAGAATCTATCAGTGTTTTAGAAAGGAGAATCTACGTTGCGCAACCGATTCGGTGCAATCTATGTCAGAGAGAATTCCACAAGGGCCGGCGACCCGGCGGCGACCCGGCGACCCGGCGGCGACCCGGCCACCCGGCGACCCGGCGACCCGGCGACCCGGCGACCCGGCGACCCGGCGACCCGGCGACCCGGCGACCCGGCGACCCGGCGACTCCCGGCGACCCTGCGACCCGGTTTCCCGGCGACCCAGCGCGACCCGGCGACCCGGCGACCCGGCGACCCGGCGACCCGGCGCCCGGCGGGCGACCCGGCGAGCCCGGCGACCCCGCACCCGGCGACCCGGCGACCCGGCGACCCGGCGACCCGGCAACCGGCGACCCGGCGACCGGGCGACCCGGCGACCCCGACCCGCGACCCGGCGACCCCCCGGCGACCTCGGCGACCCGGCGACCCGGGACCGCCGCGACCCGGCGACCCGGCGACCCGGCGACCCGGCGACCCGGCGACCCGGCGACCCGGCGACCCGGCGACCCGGCGAACCCCGGCGACCCGGCGACCCGGCGGACCCGGCGACCCGGCGACCCGGCGACCCGGCGACCCCGGCGACCCGGCGACCCCGCGACCCGGCGACCCGACCCGGACCCGCGACACCGACCCGGCGACCCGGCGACCGCGACCCGGCGACCCGGCGACCCGGCGACCCGGCGACCCGGCGACCCGGCGACCCGACGACCCGGCGACCCGACGACCCGGCGACCCGGCGACCCGGCGACCCGGCGACCCGGCGACCCGGCGACCCGGCGACCCGGCGACCCGGCGACCCGGCGACCCGGCGACCCGGCGACCCGGCGACCCGGCGACCCGGCGACCCGGCGACCCGGCGTCCCGCCGACCCCGCGACCCGGCGACCCGGCGACCCGGCGACCCGGCGACCCGACGACCCGGCGACCCGGCGATCTTGTGAATCGGCGACCCGACGATCCGGTGACTCGGCGACCCGACGATCACGATGGTGATGTCGATGATGATGTTGGTGGTGATCATGATGACGTCAATGTTGATGACGCAAACGACGACGATGATGATGATGGTGATGATGATGATGATGATGACCCTGGTGATGATGATGATGGCGATGGTGGTGGTAATGATTATGATGGCGATGTTGATGACGATGACGATGATGATGGTGACGAAGACGATGATGATGACAAATGGTAGTATAGTGATTATCGCTGCCAATATCACGGTCGTGACTACGATGGCGATGGTGAGTATGACGATGACGATGGCAATGCTGAGGATGCCGACGACTGTAATACCGACGACCGCACTGGTGATGATGATAACGGTGATGGTCAGCTCGGCGATGATGATGTTGATGGCGACGACGCGAATCAAGACGATGACGCCGACGACGACGACGACGGATGGTGGAGAAGATGATGACGACGAGAAGAATGAACACCGTGACGGTGATGTCGTTCATGATAATCATGTCGACGACGATAAGGATAGCACTGGTGCTGATGCTGCTAGTGATAACCAAATTTGTCGGCGATCGTGGCCGCGATGATAGCTGCGAGGGCTGCGAGGGCGATGGCGAGGCGGCGATGACGACGATGGCGATTATTTTGCCTGGAAGCACGGAGCACCAGAGAACGAGGCCTCGGCAGGACGCCTCGTTGCCTGGACCAGGCAGTGACAATTTGAAGGGAAGTTGGGGGAAGGGGCGGAGGATCGCTCCCGCCGATAATCACAAGCTCGGCCTTGCACGTGGCAGCTAACCTAGCAGAGAGAGCGGCGGGCCCTCCACCCACAGCGTTCTTCGAAGTTTCGGAGGAAGAGACAAGGGATCAGGAAAATGAGGAAAGGTGACCCCCTGCTGTAAATCAGCGCTTTGCGTCGCAGAGCACGCGGATCTCTGCGCGCACTGCTCCTGGAGCGCCGCGCTCTGCTCCACCGCCCCTGCGAGCGCTCACGCTTCTTTCAGGCTGTCGCCCAGCAGCGCGCTCACGCGCTTGAACTCGTCCACGTTGAAGTCGCCCTCCGTGGCTTTCGCGACCAAGCTCTCCTGCAGCTTGCTCTTGGCACGGGCTTGCAACCCGAGCTTCTCCGCGATCTCATTGCACACTGCCTCGGCGTGCACTTGGGGCGGGCCCCGCACGGAGACGCCGCTGTTGCTCTTACCCTGGCTCCACACAGCCAGCCCAGCAGCCGCCAGGAAGCGGAACACCACGCGGAGCGCCGCTTCGACGGTGTCAGCGTTGCCCCTGAAGGAGCTCGCATTCTTGCTCAAGGTGTGCGGATCTTGCGACGACTGCAGCACCGACAGCAACATCCTCTTCTTCAGTCCGGCATCTGTCTTGAACTCCTCCGCCTGCAGGGGCGGCTCCATGCGCAACTTCTTCAACGGCCGCGACCCCGATCCCTCAGTCTCATCGACCCCGGACGCAGCTTGGGTTAGTCCCGCCACTCCCTTCGCCTGTTCACCAGGCACCGCCGCCCCCGTTGCCTCTGGAGGCGTCGCCGGGACTACTTGGGATGCGGGGATGGGCTCAAGCGGTACATTATCGGCGTGGGGCGCTTCGATCGACTGCAAGCTCGCGAAGTCCACCGCCTTGCCCTCCAACAGGTCCTTCACGCCACGGCAGAGCCTACGGGTGCCAATCCTGCACGTCTTCTTGAATGCTATATGTTCTGTTTCGGTTGTGTTGGGCAACGTTGTCCAGCGTGTTCTATGTTGTTGATCGGTCTATGGACGCGTTGCATTGCGCTAGTCGCTCTTCAAAGATACTCGCACTGCGGTGATTCAAACAACAGGTTGCCATCTATGAGAACCTCATTGTCTGGATCAAACTAAAGGGCAGGATTGGCATTCGAAGCAGGGCCTGTCGGCAACAGAATGGTCACCCGCCACCGAGTCCTCGTCGGCTTCTGGCGCAATCTGCCGCAATTCCTCCATGGATACGTCCGGGTCCCAATCCAGCATCCTGTTGCACGCCTTGACGAAGCTCTCGCTGTCCCGCCTGTACGCTGCGAGGGTCGCGCGGCCTGGGCCCACTGCGAGGAAGCCCATCATGCTCAAGAGGATGAGGTCCACGTGTGCGGCGTGGATCTGGACCTCTGTCGTGCATGGATTCTGCGCGAAAGCCTTCATGTCCCAGTTCTGGGCGACCTTGCGCAGGGTCGTCATGGGGTTTACCCGCGCGCAAACGGCTGGGCTAACAATTTTCTCGATGGACGACAACTTGGCAGGAGGCATGGCTGCTTGCTTGGCTCGGTCCTGCATGAACGTTCGCGCCGTCTCCCTCGCATTGATCGTCATCCGAAAATTGCGCGAGAACCATTCCCCCACGGCTACAGCAACGTCCACAGAGGAGCGTTGAATCCGCCTCCCCCTTCGGGCACAGTGACGCGAGATGCCCTCGGTACCGCGCTCGTCACAGAGGGCCCTCGCAGGCCCGCCAAACTCTCCCGGTGCTTTCTTGCGCTTAATGCATTGTGCTCGCCCTGCCCTTGCAGCGCAGAGTTGCCAACGCGGCCAGGATACCTGCCACTAGCAAAAAGAACGCAACGCCCGGACATCCCCTGATAGATCCCAGGAGACCCCGCGCGTCCGAAGCGGCTGCCAGGCTCTCCAACAATCAATCATTAAATCACTCATTCCCCCTCCCCCCCCCCCCTTCCCCTTGCTCCACCCTTGTACCTCGGCGCGCCCTTCCCTCCACCTTCCATCCGTCCACCATGCCCTTCCTCCTCGCCCCTCTTACTTCCTCGTCCTCGTTAATGCCTTCCCCCCCCTTCTCATTGCCTCATTGACGCCTGCGCGGGCTGGCCCTGGGACCCAGAGGACAAAGGGTTCCGGAAATGCGGCGTTGGCCCCTGAATCTCCGGGGCGACGGCGACCCGGTCCACGGAGTCCACGAAGTCAAGAGGCACCTCGCCCTCCCCGAGGCAGTTCACGATCTCCTCGCCGGTCATCTCCCTGATCATGTCCGGCGTCTTGCCAGCCTTCTGCAGCAAGTAGTCGATGACCTTCTCGCCTATGTCCAAAGGCGGGATGAACTGGAGCGTCCTCGTCATGTCCTTCCGCGCAGTGGCATATCCACTGTCTTCGTCCGCGCCCTTCGACGCGCGCGCCTCCTCCCGCACGTAGTCCGCAGCCGAGTTGAATTGCTTGCGGAAGTGCTCCATCACGTCCTCAGCCCACGGCAGAAAATGCGTCCCACGCACCTTGGAGTACCTGTTCTTCTTGTTCTTCTCGTCCGGGCGCTCCTCTCCCCGTACGTACAGCGCCGAGGCCGTCAGCATAACCTTCCCGATAGCGGTCACTACATGGTCGTATTCCAAGTCGTTGAAGTAATCTGGATCGTCCTCCAGGAGGCGCGCCACCTGAGGTGCTGGTACATCGGGTAGGATCTTGTTCACGACGGCGGTGAAGTGGCCGATCAGGAATCTCATCATGCCTGCTGTTGTGTCGGGCTTCTGTGCTTGCTCGTACACTTCCTCAATGTGCATCATGACCGCACCGCACAAGTGCGGGTTCCGCACCAAGAAACGGTTCTGCGTGTTCCCAGGGTGGTTCTTGTACAGATCATGATCGTGAATCTGGTTCAGATCATCGATGCCGCCGCCTGGCCCGTTGTCGAAGGTCTGCGGTAGCCACGTCTTCCCCTCGTGCAGCGCGAGAAACGCCGTTTCCCCTTGCGCCTGCATGAAGTTCCCGAGACCGATGAAGGTACCCTTGTTGAAGATCGTGTCTTTGGCGTGTTCTTTTGCTGGCTCTGGGTTATTGTCTGGGTCGTCCTTGTGCTTCTGGGCGGCATCCTCGTACTTCTTCTTGGAGCGCCTCTCCCGTATCATGTCGTAGAATCCTAACACCTGCACGTCCAGCCAGAGGGCGATTGATTTTCCGTCGCCAGGTTCGCCATGCTGTAGCATGAGCAAGTTGCAGTGTCGGGATAGTATGCCACCGTACCTGAGTTGAACTGCCCCAAGCGTTGTGGCTACCAGAATCATGAGGTGGACGTAGACACACGAAGCGTGCAGAGATGTCGCCTTGCCCAGCGCCGAGGCCACCTTCCACATGAGTGGCGTCGCCCGGCGCGCAGCTTCTTCGGGGAACGGGTTCTGGTTCTCCAGGATGCGGTACAAGGTCCGGATTTCTCCTTTCGTCATTGCTGGCAACTGTTGGCTTGCGTCTGCGCCGCGACCCGGGCGGCGACCTTTTGGAGCTGCTGCGACATGGTTCGCGGTGAGGGCGACGACGAACAACGCGATGAGCGCGATCCGCTGCATGGTAGCTGTTCCCGTTGAGACTGGGCGATATTTGGACTGAGGCGCAGTGCAGCGATCTCCCGGCGATCCGAGAGAGCCTGATGCTGATGTGGCTGTCGGGACCCCTGGCGGCGGCGATGCGAATGCATGGGTCGATGTTGGTAAGCGCTGATATCGGACCTGATGCGCGCACTCCTCGCGCAACTGATAATATCTGATGATGTTAGAGATGGTGATGATGCGGGCGCCAACGCTGACGGCACGAGCGCGAACGCGGTGGAAACTTGGCAACACAAGTAAGCACGTTCATGTGCAAGAACTGTTTGGGGGGCGAGTTTCCCTTGAGCACTGGAGATGCCACCACATTCTCGGAAGCTCCTGGCGCATCCGACTCCTCTTCCTCCAGACTTCCCTGCCGATTCGGCAAGCGAGACTGCCCTACGAGCACTTGTCAATAATGAGCGTCTCCATCTCAACGCACCATGGACGATGATGATTGCGATGCTGAGTGAACGGGCGCACGCGCAGTAACAGCGATGCCAATCCGGATGTTTTTTGTTGCTCTCGACGCACCTCCAACGCCGCAGTTCCAGTCCGGAGCGCAACGCGCTCCAAAGGGGTCGAAGGTAAAACCAGCTGGCATGCACAAAATCTACGCAATGCAATATGCCACGCCGTGTCAGCGCGGGCCTAGACGCCTACTTTCTAGCAGTCCCCGCACGTTGAGGTGCCCCACTCTCCCGGCGCTGCATGGGCCCCGCCTCGCAACGCCTGCGCTCGCATGCCGCTTCTCGCTCGAGCCATTGGTTGTGGGCGTCAAAAAGGATCCACCAGTGCATCTGGAAGTGCCCCCGCGTCATCTCGAGGCCACTCCGTGTCCTCCCGCTGATCCAAGAGTTCAACTGCTCACATGCCTCCGTGTTTTTCTTGTCCAACAACTTGGCATTATCTGGCCTCAGGGGGTCCACTTCTGGCATGTTGTTCAAACACCAGGTGTGGTTGTCCCGGTGGAACCTGTCCAACACCATCCGCACTTCCTCCACGAAAGACTTCGTCCATGGTAGGAACTGCGTTTCCTTCGCCCGGGCAAGTGACAGAAGCTTGCACGCATTGTCGTACCCCAGGGCCGCAATGACGAAGCCCAGCTCGCGGCCATCCTGCCCGATCGATGCCAGCGCCAGCGCGCTCTGCTCAGCCCGAGCCCCGCCCATTCCCGAAAAGAGATGCATCCATGCGTGCATGTCTTCATTCCTTCATCTCTCCCCCCTTTTTCCTCATCTCGCCCCTCCCCCCCCCGCCCCCCATCCCCTCCTTTCCCTCCTTCCCCTTCCCTCCATTTCCGCCTCTACATCCCCCTATTGCGCCCTTTCACTATCCCTCGACCCTTCGACCCCCCCCCCCCTCCACGCTGGCCGAAGTGGGGGGGGCTCGTGACATGAGCAGAACCTCGGGCGTCGCCATCCGTCCTTGTGAAGCCGCAGCGCGAACGCATATAGCAGCTCGATGGACTCGCCCCGGAAGAGCTCCATCCAGTCCACCAGCATGCCGCACGATGTTACTGCTGTCACGATGCCTCCAGTGCAGCGTCTGACTTTGTTGCTCCCGTGGAGTTTGTCAACGCCGCACGCCTGGATAGCTTCCTCCTGCTTGCTGTCCAGAGCAAGCCATCCCTTGCAGCGGCTCCTCAATGAGTGGGCACTGCTTGCGCTGCTGCTCACATCGGCCGCCGCCGGCCGCTTCTTCGACTTGGCTGGAGCTGACCGCTTCGGTGCCGTGGCCAAGGCCCCGCTGGCACTCCCTCTTCCTGATCGGCGGGAAATGCCCGCGGCCTTGCCCTTGCCACTCCTGACCGCCTGGGCAGCCTTCCGGGCAGGCGCCCGAGAAGCAGAGCCACGCCGAGCCTTCTTTGCCCCGCCCCGGGCGCCTGCGCCATTGCTCGCCGCGACCGAGCTGGCCGGCTCACAAGCCGGCGCCTGTTTCCTCAGCCAGCGCGCAAATTGCCGGCTTCCCTTGATCCACGCCGGGCGCGACTTCTTGTTGCCGTGATCGCCCCGGCTCCGAAGCAGCGACTTCTCGAACTTCGCCAACAAGTCCTTCTCCACCTCGGCTCGCGGCAAGTGCACCTCGAAGGGGCGTTCTGGCAAATCGGGGTCGTAGCAGCTCACCACGTACCGCAGCGCGGAGTCGCCGTCAGCGGCCGGTCCTGGAGGAGCGACGCCCAAGATCTCCTTCTGGGGTATCAAGTGCGCTTGCTCTATCTTGGACGGGCGGCAGAACTTGCAAAAGAATTGTTTCGTGGGGGCATTCCGTTGGCAGCCAGTGTACAACTCCAACTCCAGGCCCTCCATGGGTTCATAGCCCTCCAAGCCGCCGCAGATGAATCGGCGGGCGCCGTGCTTGCCATCAAGCAACACCACGAGCTTGTCAACGCATTTCGGGCACGTCCGCACGTGCTCCGCGATGCGCGCCAGGTGCGCCCTTCGCACGCATGCCGCAATATTCGTAAGGGCGCGCTCTATTCCGCTCTCCGTGAAAGACCACTCAATACTCTCAGCGTTGGCTCCTGCCAGACGAATTGCATTGTGCATGTACCAGGCGTCCTCCAGACGCACGCGCGTGTTGTCTGTCTGCGTCATGAAGTCGCCCAGGATGAGGTTTTGCTGCTCGCGCCCTGGGTGCTGCTTGGCCCACACGTGGATGGCAGATGTGAACGTGCCTCCGCTGTGTTGCAAATCATCAGTTATGAACTGCAACAGCTGCAGGTCCACCGCGTACCACGCTTTCTCCCGGGCCACCACGACGTACGGCAAGGCCGCCTTCGTGGACACGGCGGTGATGCCAGACATCTTGCCGAAGTTTGCGCGACCGCCGATGCCCGCATTCTTCTTGTACATCCAATTGCCGACGAAGTAGCACTTGCAGGATGGACAATACTCCTCACGGAATCTACAATACTGGACCCCTGCGCCGAGAGTGTAGATTCGGAAACGGAAGTCCTGCGAAGCAGAAGCCGCGCCCCGTTCTTCCCATTTGTTCCCAATGCGGCCTCTGCTTTTGTCTGGCTGGATCACCAGATCACTATTTTCGCATTTCGGGCATTGGCCGTGTGTTGACGAGAGAAGTACAGTCTCCGACTCGGGGCACAACTCCTGCATCTCCTTCAATGCTGGATGATTTAAGTCGTGCTCCCTGGTATTCCCAAATCCCACGTACGACTGCAGCTTCCACAATGCATTCTTGATTGCGTTATCTGCAGCCTCGACCTTCAGTTCTTTGCGTAGCAGCGCTCGCACAAAAGGCGGAGCCAATTCGTTTGGCATGCATGATTGCACGCGTGCCACGACCCTAAAGGCAGCTGCAGGTAACGGATGCATTAGTGTACTGAATGAGAAATCTTTCCCCGCCTCCCCAGCCATCTTCGCCAGTCCCCGCTCCGCGTTGGAAAGGGAGCGACAGCGCAGCGCGCGCGTGCGCGCGGGCGCAACCTTGACACGTAAAGTGGCTCCCTAGTGACAGGGGCGATGATCATGATGGCGGCGCGGGCAACGATGCTGGCCCTGGTGACGACGACAACGGCGACAGACGCGACAATGGAAATGACGATGGTTACAACGATGATGGTGTTGACGATGGTCACGAGAATGCTGAACCTCATTCTTATCATGATGATGGTAATGATGGTGATGATGGTGGTGGTGGTGCCGACGATGGCTTTCGCTCTGGTTCTGGATTTGGGTTCTGACTTCTTTGTGCCTCTGCAAACGGTATGGGTACAACTCTGGCTGTTGGTCGGGCTCTGCTTTTGCCTGTCGCCCCGGTTCTACCTGCGGCTCTGTTTCTGGATTTCGGTACGGACCCCTCGCTGGCACTGCTTCTGTCTCTTGTTCTGCTCATGGTATTGGTCCTGGTTCGGGTTCGCCGTTGGATCGCGGTACTGGTTCTGGTTAATTTTTCCTTTGGTTCTGGCTCTGCTTCTAGCTCTGGTCCTGGCTTTGGAACTTGCTCTAGCTCTGGCTGTCGTGATCATTCTCTGCTTTTGGTTCTGGTTCCGGCTCTGGTTCTGGTTCTGGCTCTGGTTCTGGTTCTGGTTCTGGCTCTGGTTTTGGTTCTGGCTCTGGCTCTGGTTCTGGTTCTGATTTTGGCTCTGGCTCTGGTTCTGGTTCTGGTTCTGGCTCTGGCTCTGGTTCTCGCTCTGGCTCTGGTTCTGGTTCTGGTTCTGGCTCTGGTTCTGGTTCTGGTTCTGGCTCTGGTTCTGGTTTTGGCTCTGGCTCTGACTTTGGTTCTCGTTCTGGCTCTGGTTCTGGTTCTGGCTCAGGTTCTGGTTCCGGTTCTTGCTCTGGTTTTGGTTCTGGCAGTGTCTCTGGTTCTGGTTCTGGTTCTGTTTCTGGCCCTGGCTCTGGTTCTGGTTCTGGTTCTGGCGCTTGTTCTGGCTCTGGCTCTGGTTCTGGTTCTGGTTCTGGCTCTGGTTTTGGTTCTGGCTCCGGTTCTGGTTCTAGTTCTGGCTCTGGCTTGGGCTCTGGTTCTGGTTTTGGTTGTGGCTCTGGTTCTGGTCCCGGCCCTGTCTCTGGCACTGGCTCTGGTTCTGGTTCTGGCTCTGGCTCTCGCCCTGGTTCTGTTCCTGCCTCTGGTTCTGGCTCTGGTTGGCTTTAACAGTGGTCCTGGTTATGGTCCAAGGTCCTGCCTCTGGCTCTGCTTTTGTTGTATATATTCTCAGCTCTGGCTCAGGCTCTGGTTCTGGCTCTGGTTCTGGCTCTGGTTCTGCCTCTGGCTCTGGCTTTGGTTATAAGTTTGGCTCCGGCTCTGGTCCTGCCTCTGGCTCTGGTTCTGGTTCTGGCTCTGGCTCTGCTTCTGGCTCTGGCTCTGGTTCTGGTTCTGGCTCTGGCTCTGGCTCTGGTTCTGACTCTGGTTCTGGTTCTGGCTCTGGCTCTGGCTCTGGTTCTGGCTCTGGGTCTGGTTCTGGCCCTGCTTCTGGTCATGGCTCTGGCTCTGATTCTGGCTCTTGCTGTGGTTGTGCCTCTGGCTCTGGTTTGGGTTCTGACTGTGGCTCTGGATTTGATTTTGGTTCTGGCTCTGGTTTTGGTTCTGGCTCTGGCTGTGGTTCTGCTTCTGGTTCTAGTTTTGGCTCTGGCTTGGGCTCTGGCTCTGGCTCTGGTTCTGGTTGTGGTTCTGGTTCTGGCTCTGGCTCTAGTTCTGGCTCTTGCTATGGCTATGGTTCTGGTTGTGGTTCTGGTTCTGGTTCTCGCTCTGGTTCTGTTTCTGCCTCTGGTTCTGGCTCGGGTTCTGGCTTTAACGGTGGTTCTGGTTATGGTTCTTGTTATGGGTCAAGGTTCTGCTTCAGGCTCTGCTTTTTGTTAAATCTGTTTTGTCTCTGGCTCTGGCTGTGGCTCTTGTTCTGGCTATGGTTCCAGTTCTGGCTCTGGCTGTGTCAATGGTTATTCTGTGGATCTGGCTCTCGTCCTGGCTCTGGCTCTGGTTCCAGTTCCAGCTCTGGCTCTGGTTCTGGCTCTGGCTCTGGCTCTGGTTCTGGCTCTGGCTCTGGTTCTGGCCCTGCTTCTGGTCATGGCTCTGGTTCTGATTCTGGCTCTGGGTGTGGTTGTGCCTCTAGCTCTTGCTCTGGGTCTCGTTCCGGCCCTTGTTCTCGATCTGTTTTTGATTCCGATTCTGGCTCTGGCTCGGGTTCTGTCTCTTGCTCCGGCTCTGGCTCAAAAGCCCGAGGACGACGGAAACCTCCAGACCCTTGTCCTTCGGGGCCGTTTTCCTTCCGGAGGAGGCAGGGCGCCGTCCGCCGGCTGGCGCTCGCCAATTTGCGCGGCTGCTGGCCGCAGCGAAAAGTCCCGGAGATGACCCCCAGCGGCGGCGCGCACCCGCGACCGGCCTGGAAAAAATAACTGCTCAAAAACCTCGTGCACCAGCCATCCTCGCAGCCGCCCTGTCGCGGTGCTCGTCTCCCCCCTCATCCTCTGCGTTCTCTTCCTCCTCCTCTTCCTCCTCCTCCTCCTCCTCCTCCTCCTCCTCGTCCTCCTCCTCCTCCCTCCCCCCCCATCTGCCTCCTCCCCCCTCTCCCCCACCTCCCCTTGCCACCCCCCGCCGACAGCCCGCGCTTCCGCGGCCTCTTTGGCTGCTTGCGGGGGTTCCTCAGACAGCGGCGCGGTTCAGCTTCTCGCGGAGCAGCTTCTCGCGGCGATGGTTCCCGCGCGCTTCCCTGCGCTGCTGCGCCGCCTCCACGGCGGCGCAGCGGTCCTTCGCCTCCTGGACGCCCATGCCCAGGCGCCCCGCCAGGGCAGTGCCCTGCGCCAAGTGGCCGGCACGGAGCACCCGCACCGCCTTCATCACGAGGACATCTTTCTTCTTCTGGTCCGCGACATCCGCCGGCGCGGGCTTCGTCCACGCGGACTCCAACGTGTCGGCGTTATACCACACGAGGTGGCCGTTCGCCACCGTCGCCTTCTGCGACCACGCCGTCTCGTCCAGCCACGCCTCCAAGTCGGCTTCGAAAGCGACCTCCTGCTCCGTCTGCTGCAGAGCATCGCCTGACACGACGCGAAACGCGGGCGGCACGCGAGGGGGGCGCGCGCTCGGACCAATCCAAGGCGAACCAAACATAAGTCTGAGCGCGCTACTCCCCCTGCTGACAGCCGCTCGTTTCGCGCCGTGCGGCCTGTCAAGTGTTCGTACGGATCCCGCTGGGGGCCCTGCTTCTCCGCGTCCTCCTGCTGGCCCTTGTTATTCTCCGTCTCTTCCGCGTCCGGCTTGGGGTCGCAGGTCTTCTTCTCGCGTTCCTGCTCTGCGTCCGTTGCGTTGCTCTGCGGCTTCCGCTTGCTGTCGTCCTTTTGCTGGCGCTGCTCCTGCTCCCCATTCCTCTTCTGCCCCCGCTCCGTCAAGTTGTCCCGCGGCTTCTGGTCGCGGCTGCGCTCCTCCTTCTTCGACCCCTCGCCCGAGTGCTTCTGCCGCTTCCAGTCCGCGCCCTCTTCCCCCTCCCTGTCCTCCCTCCGCCGGGTTTTGTCGCTGCTCCAAGAGGTTCCCGCGTGCGTCTGCCAGTTCTCCTGCGGCTGCTCCGAGGCGCGCGACGCGCGCGACCACCCCTGCGTCGGACTGTGGGGCCCCGCGGGGAAAATGCACATTCCAGAAACACGCCAGGCACTGCGACGGATTCTTTACTTCGTTTACTGCCCGTCACGGGCGTGCTCACGGGGGGCCCACGACCGCGAACGCGAACGCGACCGCGACCGCGACCGCGACGACGACGACAACGACGACGACGACAACGACCACGACGACGACGACGCCGACGACGACGACGACGACGACGACGACGACGACGACGACGACCACGACGACGACGACGACGACGACGACGACGACGACGACGACGACGACGACGACGACGACGACGACGACGACGACTGCAACGCCAGAGACGACGACGACGACGACGACGACGACGCGGGCGGCCCCCGGAATATGCCGGAGGCTTCCGAAGACTCTGGCCGAGAGGGGGGCGATCACGAGCATGATGGCCCCGCTCTGTCTCTTCTGCCTCCGCCCATCGCGGCCCCTGGCGCGCTCCAGAAAGTGCGATCAAGCACCTTCCTCCCCGGGACGCCCGCCCGCCGACACCTCGCCCCAGTTGGCCCTCGACCACGACGTGCTCGTCCACGACGCACTCGACCACCGCGCGCCCGACCACGAGGCCCAACCGCCGCCGCGCGGCCAGGTGTGGCCGTGCCACTCCTCACTCTTGTTTTTCCCCAGCTCGTCCTCCGGCGCCCGCTTCCCCGCGCCCCAGTTGTCCGGCGCGTTCCTGTCTTTGCCGACCCAGCTCCCGCCCTTGCTCTGCCGGCCCCCCTTGTTGTCCTGCGCGGGCCCCTTGGACCGCTCCTCCCTCTTCTCCCGGGGCCCCCTCTCCTTCGCGTCCGCCGGGCCCACGGCAGCGCGCGCCGCGACGCCCATCTCTGGACCAGCTCGAACGTACCACATCTCCTCGTCGTCGCCGTCG